TAACGGGAGATGTTTTTCTTCTTCTTTTTCGGGGGATATTTTCTCGATTTAGTTTACCCTCTTTGATTATGCGATATTGTTCACGAGCGTGAAGGTTTTGAAAAGCTGTTAAGGGAATGTTGATCTCACTCAGACTATTTAAAAAACCCCGCCAGCCCTTAGGCTCCTGGACATTTGTTTTATACGCGCAGGATAAATGTTTAAATAAATCTAAAACGTGGGAGCCTTTAACGGCAACCCCCTTGTCTATAAATTCCCCCTCTGGTGTCCATCCAGCTGTACTCGTGGTTAATTTCCTCATAATGTACTCGGCATTCTTGTGGTAACGCTTAGGGAGGTGCAGTAGAACATCGTTTTTTATTTTATCATCGGACGTGCCATCATTTTCTGCTCCTTTTACCACCCCCGTGTCTTCAGGTAGAGTCAGAGTAATATGTCTCTCCTCAAGCCCGTCTTGTTTGAGTAGGGTGAGATATCTTTGTAACAAGGTGTTGTATTTTATGATTTTTTCATAAGGGGGTAATCCTGGTTCGTTTAAGGTGGCTCTCATTTTTTCATCCAGAACATCTTCTGCAGTGCGTCTAATTGTTTCCTTACTGTGAGGGTTAGTTACACCATTCTGATTGAGCTGATTAAACTGGTGAGGTGTTAGCAGAAACATCTTTTGACTCATGGTCGAGCTAGCCCTCCTAAAAGTTGGCCTAAAATGGGGATCAACGCGCCGAGTAGCGGCAGTAGGAAACCTCCAGATTGCTTTCTTAAGGCCTTGAATTTAGTTTTTAAGTTGGTCTTTTTATTGGCCAAGAGTTTGAAAAATTTCTTTTGCTTCTTAAGCTTCTTATACTGAATGCCTGACAGGGGGATGTTACCTTTTAAAAGATTTAGAGACAGTTCACAGAGTGATTGAAGAAAATCCGTGGAGCAGTTCTCGAGAATATCCTTGCGCTTTGAAGGCGGGGCTTGACATAAGGCCCTCAACAGAGGCATGTTTCTTTTTAAACGGGCCGACATACTGTTTTTTCTCAAGTCTTCGTTTTTGGTACATAAACAACTAGCCATTGATTAGGTAGTGCTCCCGATCTAAGCCTGTAGATGTCTGGACAGGTGGGGGTCATGTCTACGATTAAGTAACCGTGAGGTTCCGTGGTGGCGTCTTCAAAACTTTGTAGGAAAAATGATTTATTACCAGGGTGTATTTGTTGAGCAAGTATGTTCATTTGTAGTCTGTCTCTGGGGTTTTTAAACAAGACCATGTAATTAGTATTCAAACTAATTGTGCGACTGTTTTTTCCTTGGTGAAAAACATTTTGGGTAAGCATGATAACACTCATATTTCTATGATGACGGTATTGGGTGAACAGTCTGACTACTTCCGGATGTTCAGAGGCCTGAAATATAACATCGTCTAATATAATCAGATGACTTTGGTCAGGAGGAAATAGCGATTCATCTTCAAATGATTCAGGCAGACCCTTGACGAATTTTATATTTTTATTCTTTTCCTGCAGTTCAGCATACATGGGCTGGAAAGAAGTATAAATCCACACAATATTTTGAGGCTGTACATCCATTACGTGAATACAATTTTGCAATACATTCTTGACAAAAAAAGTTTTTCCACAACCACTAGGGCCCACTACTAGACAGGAAAAAGGAACACGCAGTCGGGGGTCAAAATCAATTTGACTTGGTGAAAACATGTCGTCAATTATTTTCTCAATACCCAAAAGGCAAAGTATTTCCCCCGGCTAACAAACGTCTCTTGTCAAACACAACTCGGAACTTTTTGGTGAATGACACATTTCTCAAAGCGAAAACCTCTTTATTCCTTACAATGCTGTGCTGAGGGACCTCAATTACCCTTCCCCTCTCAGAGTTTTGAACGTAGCCCTCCACCAGGTCGGCCAGACTGTCAAAGTTCACTCGTTTGCAACATTCATGCGTTTGTGTGATGCCTTTCACGCGCATCACAACTTTTTTTTTGATTTTTGGTCTGATAAGCATAACTTTTAGGGCCTGCTGAAACAAACTCTTTAATCGTATCGCCCCCCAGCTCGTCTGTCAGGTCCCCCAGATAGACCCCCATCGGTAGAGGGCTCTCTCCTTGTCTTGTCACATAGATTATGCTATCTGTGTCGTAGTAGAATACTCTGCGCTGTAATTTCTCCAATTCACTGTACAGTTTCAGCCTGGCATACGCTGTGGTAAAGGCGGCGATGAATATGTTATCCACCTTGTTGGGAGTAGAGTAACAATTTTCCCCGTAGCACCACTGAACTAGAGCCGTTCGGGGGTTGAGGAATGAGAAATACGTAACCTTATGTTTAGCTGAAAACAAGAGGTTAAGAAATTCTTCGGCTTTGGTCACAATCTTAGTCTGAGTCAGATTGCTTCTCTGGGCAAATTTACCCCAGAAACTGTTGAGACATAGTTTTGCCACTTGTCTTTTGGCAGGGTTTGATTTGATTTTATCTGCATCCAGCAAGATGCCCTGCTTAGCATGATAGTCTGCCACATACTTTTGTCTGCTCTCATCATCTGAGGCCTCTGAAGGGTAACCTGATGCTTCTTGTTTACCCTTCAAAAAGGTGTGTATATAGTCTACAAAAATGCTGTCACTTTTCTTCTCAAAATGCCACACCTCTGTGATCTGAGTCATCTTGTAACCCATATCCAGAGCTTTGGTGAATTCCGGGGTCACCCAAACCCCTGTTAATGCTCTTTCCTCTTTGCTATGCAAGCAGGCCCCCTGTTGGTTGTTAAGCTCTGCGCATGTGCGGCATAGAGTGAACACCAGTTTACCAGCTGCAGTTCGGTAGGGCAGGACAGGAAAGTACAGACCTCTAGGAGGTTCTACTGTGGCTTTGATTAACCCGAAATAACTGCGAGGGTCTTTGAAATCTCGGAATATGATCTGAGGGTGTCCAAGTGGATATAGGCCTGTGCAGTTTACAAAAGGATAGAGTGAGGTGAAATCGCAGTAATGAACCGATTCATCCACCGCTGCTGTGTGCCTCAACTTTACTGCACATGTCCTTCCCCCGTATAAAGCATCGCGGGGGGTCAGCGGTTCTGGTGCATTGTATACCTTGAGGAAAGCCTTCAAATCTTGATTGGATTTTTTCATCTCAACCCATGTATGCTCACGCATAACGTTCACTTTGGCCCCATGGACAGCCTCTAGCTCATGCAGTTTTGCCTCGCTAACAGCATGGAGATGCTCAAATGTGTGACCTATCAAGGGGTTTTTCTCATGCCCCTTATAGCAAGAGGGGCAGCCGTGATAGAAACAACCTAGAAATTCCCAGACAATCTTTTCCCCGGTAACTTCGGCAAACCCGTCTACGACGAAACGTCCCACTCGTTTCTCTCCTTCATTCAACGCATGTTGAATAAAAACACCTGCAGTCTGAGCTACCCACTCCAGCCACTGAATACCTGCGTCTGAGTACGTCTTGTTTTCACGGCGGTAGTCGTCGGGTGGGGGGATTGCCAATGTTTTGGGCGTTAGAAAGTTTGTGGTAAAAACTTTCATACAGGCAGAAGCTATAGTCGCACGACTAAAAGGATCAACTCCTGTCTCCCCGAGAAAACCTTTCCGAAATAATGCGGCCCCCTGGGCAAGAATGGCCACATCATTTTTGCAGTAAAGCAATGCCTGCTCTCTAAAGTCAAAAATGCCCCGGCGTACCGTCTCATACCACGTGAGAAAGTCACTCTTTTCACCAGTTGTCATGCGTTCAACCCCATAACAGCGTGCGGGTGGATAAGGGCCTATATAACTCAGGTTAGCCTCGGAGCTGAAACCGTGAGGGAAGTACCCCTTGATTTTATCTCCAAACCCCAAAGCTTTTGGCATGTCTGCTAAACGCATAGACAGATAAGACAGTGAGTCTATGTACCTGTGGCCGAAATCCTCGTCAGTAAAAGAGATCACTTTACTTCCCTGCATTGTTAACGGGGGCTTTAGCCCCTGTGCAACCATTGCGTTGATAATGAAATAGCTGTCAAAACCCTTAGCATTGTGCGCGATGAATGTTGCATTCTTGAACTTTGGGCTCCTAAAGTGTGCCAGAAACTGCCGTGCACAGTCGATTCCTTCGCCGACCCAAATTTCACCCCCCAAGGTTTTTGTACAAACCAAGAAAGGTATATGTACCCCATCTGCCCCCGCCATTGTTTCAAAATCATAAAACACAATGTTGTCATTGTGTTCTGTCTCTTTAGGCTGCACTCCTATGTAACACAAATGTTTTTCACACCCGAGCGTAGAAGTAGATGGTAATTTTTCCTTGCATGTCCTACATTTTTTCGTCACACACTTGTGTGTTTTATCTGCTTTACTCTTGGGGGTGTAGTAAGAAAGTTGGCAATCTGCACACTTTTTGTGTAAATCACAGTTACTGGCAATGTCTGTTGATCTCTGTTTCTGCTCTTTATGTCGAGAATGACAGCCGACTGTACGGCATGTTTTGTTGCAGTCTTTACAAAAGATGGGTTTAAACTCTGCCAGGGTGCATGCAGGGTCAAGGCAGACATAGCAATGCCCAGTACAGGAGTGACTCCATTGAGAACTGTACCCTGTATAGCAATGCTCACAGACATACGGAGAGCCTAAAAACCCCTGCAAGTTCTTCACACCATAGTAATGGTTGTGTAGGAGGAACAGAAACACAGTTTTGTCTCGTTTGGGGGCGTCTGTCTGAAATTTACAAAGGGTTCGGTCGTCACCGTTTCGGTAAAAAACCACTATCTTACAGTTTAAGCTGTCTTCGAATTTATCAATGTCGCTGAATGTCACAGCTGTATGAGCTGTCAAACCCGCCATATTCTGGATCTCTTTACCGCGCTTGACCCCCTCATTATCAGTGAGGTTATCGTGTAACAACAGTGCTAAATTAATAGCAAAACACAGCTGGTTGGAGGAGTTCTGAACAACGTAAAGAAAACGCGCCTTCTTTTTAACAATCTCACTGTCTAACATTTTACTAATCATCCGTTTACCCTGAACCCCCCCCACGGGGGGCCTGAACAATTTGAACCACGAGCTCCATGTTGCCTTCTGCCATTACCATGATATTCGATTGCATGGCTTTGAACAGCCCCTCCTCAAAATCATCCAGATTATCATCGGGACCATTTAAAATGGCTGATACATTAAACCTTAGTTCTTCACCACGTAACTCAATTTGTATGATATCTTCTCTTTCTGCCCGTGCAAAAGCATGTGCACGCATGTTATGCACATTGTTCATCAGACCCTGAAAATAGACTCCAAAGTCTGCTTCACCCCCAATAGGCGGTAGGACTAGAGACTGTCTCATTTCTATGTTACCGAATACAGGTCGAGAGATAACACTTGGCTCGGCATCTCTGCTAGTGCCTCCTCCTCCATACTGTGACAGGGGGCCCGGTGATTCCGAAGCATTCGGGGTGTCATTCTGATCAACATGTCTGTTACTTTGCATGGAGCAAGCGGGTGATTCTGAGTCATTCGAGCTGTCATTAACACACCCGTCATCTTGCATGCTGGAAACGGGGAGGCAGGCGTGGGGCGAAGCTTCGCTATTTTGTCCATCCAGACGGCGGGCATTGTCTAGAGGCTGCTCTAAAAGCCCTCGGTCTGCATAGCAGTCTATCACCCAATCCAAGGCACCGCCTAATGTTTTTGTTGGACTGCTTGAATTTGTTTCTGACAAGGCCGCGGGCTCGTTTACAGCTGACCCCTCGTCATTTAACTCACTGTTGCTGCCTGAACACTGCGGAAATGACAGGTCCCTATATCTGAATTCATCATCATCATCACTGCACAATTCGTTTACATCCGGTAATACATGCAGAAAGGACCTTTCTCCATCTGTATAGGGGCTTGTTTCTGTCAAGGGCGTAGGCTCGCGTACATCTGTTATTGTGTCATTTAGCTCACTGTTACTGTCTGACCACTGTGGAAATGACATGTCTTCGTACACAAAGCCCTCACCACTGCATAGTTCATTTACATCAGGTAAACCCTCGATGAAGGACTTTTCGTCGTCTTTTAAATCATCCATGCTTGACCGTTTTTAAGAAATCACCCCCGCAAAAAAAACAAAACATAAAAACAAAAAAAATCAGTGGCACCGCTGAAGAAACATTTCACTTTGCTTCTACATTCATGGACGTAAAGTCAACATACCTGGCGGATACATCAATAACAGTTTTACATGTGATCTACGTGTAGCTTATTCAGATGGTGTGGCCTTAAAGCAGACCTTAACAAACAGCGTTTGTCCTTTTGATAACGGGGTCCTCCCCTTCAATTGCTCTATAAAAGAAAAGAAAAGAAGAGGGTATAAGCATGTTTTTTAAAATACTCCAAAACAAAATCATTTAGCTATCATCTTTTGTATAAGCACACCTAAAAAAGCATTTTTTACCTGGTAGGTTTGAATTGTCAAAAACACCGTCTGTGTTGAGATGACTTGTTGAACAGATCTGCGCTGAGCTGAGACCATGCAGGCCGCCGGAGGGGGTTCACCACCTTTTTAGAACAAGTGAGTACGTTATTCTGGATACTTACACCTGAAAGAACATATTTAATTTTTAAGAAATATAGCTAAATACACTTATAGTAAAAAAATGTACACCACATTATTTGTACTTAGAACGATACTTCATTAAAGCTTCTAAATAATTACATAATAGAAAAACACAGATGCATAGAGGTTATTTAACACGCACACACACACACACACACACACACACACACACACACACACACACACACACACACACACACACACACACACACACACACACACACACACACATCAAGCAGCATTAACTAACTATATGCTATTATAACATAACAAATAAAAGTACTTACCATATATTTTCAAAATATCTGGGCCTTGACGGGGAAAAGCGAAGAGAGGCTGCCTAGATGTTTTCGGGATTACTTATAGACCGCTATATGTAAATGATTCTAAAAACAACCAATGGGGTTATTCCTGATTGTTTAACAAATTAGCATTATATTGTATTTGGTTTTTTATGGTAGAGCAAATACTTTTTTATTTTAGGCTATTCTCCTGTATATATGTATGCGTGTATATATATATATATATATATATATATATATATATATTTATATATATACATATATACGCATACACATTACAAAAAAACATGTAGATAGTTACATGAGAAAATAATGTAACTGCTTTCTCTGTTTTGCTCTGACCATCTGTCCTGAATTCGGAGACTTTTGTAATTAGCAGTCTCAGACCGTCTCCTCTCACACACACACACACACACACACACACACACACACACACACACACACACACACACACACACACACACACACACACACACACACACACACACACACACACACACACACACACACACACACACACACACACACACACACACACACACACACACACACACACACACACACCATTTGCCCCGCAGAGGATGTCTGGGGGTTTTATGGTCCCCACACCTGTCTTGACTGTTCATCAAACTTTTCACGGCAGAGAATAGCAGAGAGAGAGAGAGAGAGAGAGTTAGTGAGATTGACAGTACTTTTACAAATATATGGTTGTATATTTCATGTTATTTGCAAGTATTTGTAAGTTACAGTCAATACTGCTGTATACAGGGGCACAGGAAGTGGTTAGGTGGCGGGGCCTTGCTCTTTAGAGTTGAGACATTACTTTTAAAATATATGGTTGTATATTTCATGTTATTTGCAAGTATTTGTAAGTTACAGTCAATACTGCTGTATACAGGGGCACAGGAAGTGGTTAGGTGGCGGGGCCTTGCTCTTTAGAGTTGAGACATTACTTTTAAAATATATGGTTGTTACATTTCATGTTATTTTATTTTGAAAACCGGAAGCGGGGGCGACCGGTAGGGGCAGCATTTTTATTTTTATCATTTTTAAAATATTTTTTAATTTTATTTTGAAAAACCGGAAGTGGGGGTGACCGGTAGGGGCAGCATTTTTATTTTTATCATTTTAAAATATTTTTTAATTTTATTTTGAAAAACCGGAAGTGGGGGTGACCGGTAGGGGCAGCATTTTTATTTTTATCATTTTTAAAATATTTTTAATTTTATTTTGAAAAACCGGAAGTGGGGGCGGGACTTCCGGCGGAAGGGGCGGGGCTTATGGAGGGGCGGGACTTCCGGTGGAAGTGGGCGGGACTTCCGGTGGAAGTGGGCGGGGCTTAGCCGGAAGTGGGCGGGGTTTAGCCGGAAGTGGGCGGGGCTTAATAAGTAGGGAGAGGTGTGACCTGTCACTTTCTATGCATACTAATGAGACGAAAGTGGTATGTGTATAACTACTTGTGTGTGTGTGTGTGTGTGTGTGTGTGTGTGTGTGTGTGTGTGTGTGTGTGTGTGTGTGTGTGTGAGTGTGTGTGTGTGTGTGTGTGTGTGTGTGTGTGTGTGTGTGTGTGTGTGTGTCTTCTCTATCTTGCATGCACCTATGTTGCCCTGGGAGCAGTAGTCATGGAGCTTTGAGTTGCAAGTTAGACTGTTTTTGGAGATTTCGAATAAACATTTGGATGTTTCCCCTCTGCCCCAATATGTTCATACTTCAATGATCAAGTGACTTTGTACTCTAGGCTTGTTTTATTTAGTTCTAGTTGTTTTAGCATGTATTGCGATGACTCATTCCGCCTTGAGACTCTTCAAAACAGAATAACATTTGAATTGTATATGATTTTCAGGGTAGAGTAGACATTCATCAAAAAAGACAGACTGAGCACCATTCTACTTTCTGTTTCAGCTTAAGGACAGAGGTGCAAACACGTTTATTCTGACCATAAACAGAGAGCAAAATGAAATGTTCAGTACTGAAAGTAACATTTGTATGCCCCAAACTGACCCATATGTGTAGGGGATTGATGGATTTAATGAGTCATACTGTTGTTTAAATAAATCTAAAGCAAGATCAGTTACGTTGCTGCAGCTTTTGCAAATTGGCCCATTCATGATTTGATTGGCCATGCTTAGGGTTAAGGCATCTGTGTGTCCAGTCTAAATATGTGGCATGGATTTAAGATCAAGCACTGTCATGTTGGAACATTTGGTCAACATTCTAACTTCAGGTCTGCCTGTTTCAGCAGTCCTCGTGTCAGCAGGGTCGTGATGAATCAGCATGGATATCTCCATCCTGGTGAGATGTGAAAAAGGTTGGTATGGCCTTTTACAATTAATTTTCTCAAATGATCTCAACCTCAGCGGGGATGCCCCAATCAGTGAGCAATAGCGATTTTGTAGGGAATGAAGGGTAACATGAGAGAAAGGATAACATGAGACAAAGTTCCTAAGATGAACTCAAACTGGATATACTTTGCTACCTGGTGAGCATCCCTATGCGCCAAAGACACCCTTAAGCTTGAAAACTGAAGGTGAGATCCATAGCAGTCTCTAGCCATAGGAATTAGCCCCTGAGAGCTTCTGTATTTTGGTTATAAACATCGACCTGCCATAGAAACCACCTCTTCATGAGTTGCTTTTAGCTAATTTAATTTTGCACTTCACTCCACCGTTTCTGTGAAGGACTTTCAAAAAATAAAACACTGATTTGCTGCATATCTGTGTGTTGGCTGTGGTGTCCTTCCCACTATTCCATTTTTGATTGAAATGTTACACTGTGAGTGTTTACTTTTTCTTCTGATTGTGAACCCTTGTGATTATGAAGAGCTTCAATAGAGCAATAGAACATGCATTTAAAAAAGATAGTGCAATATTCATCCATAAACTGTAAATGCACTTTATCAAACAGAATGTATACACATATTGAGTCTGCATTTGATTACTAGTATATGAAATATATCAAAAGGACCTTGTCAAGGACACGCGGAAAACAACCTTTATGAGGCTGCTTTGAACCATAAATTGAAAAAGAATTGTCTTATTTTATTTACTTTCCTCAACATATTTTCTCAATATAAGCATAAGCATCTCAACATGTCTCATTAATCAGCCTTAATATTTCAAAACAAATGATATATGACGGCAAAATTACAATGCTTAAATATATGATTGTTAAAATACTGCACAATTAAAATGATGCCCTAAAGGTATAGCATATAGGTCTATGTTATTGCTTAATATATGCAGTCCACACAGGTGGAGCTTTTCAAGCTAAAGCTTTTCCTCAGGCAGCGTTGACCAGATAAAAGCGTACGTGTTACTAGAGAGAGAGAGCTGAAAGGATGTCAGCACAATACCTCTGAGATCTGACAGCACATAGCCAAGCAAACAGCATATATGTACTTGAAGGGATGCCAGCATCATGTAAATAATAATGTACTGTTGAAAACAAATTTTAGAAATAACAAGAACTGGCACCAGCCCTGTTCTCACCAAACATTTTTTAATTAAATCACTAATATGTCTTTAAAACATTTATCTTTGGACGAATGCATCCCCTTGCCTATACCACCTGTACTAAATGGCATGTTGTTGAAAAACACTTAAATGCATGAATAGACAAGATCCCACCCTTTGCGCTGCAGCCAACTTCATGAATCATAAACAGAATGCATGGATTTAAACATTAGACCTCAGAGAATGCAAAACCTGCTACGTACATACATACATATATACATACATACATATGACATAGCCAGCCAAGAGTCATTCTTCCAAGACTCAAAGGATTCAATGTGGTGGCTTTTGGTGTTATATGTCTTAGCTTGACATTAGGGCAGTCTCCTTAAGTGATAATCTACTGTGTTACAGGTTGAAGGATGAAGGACAGAGGGAAGAGTTTGAATCTACAGAGTTTCCTATCATGACTACACCTGAAGGAAAGTGATGGCGTGGCTGTTTTGAGGCTGTCTGTGTGTATGTGAGCGAGAGAGATAACAAGATAGAAAGGGCATCCGTGGCAGGCATACCTATGCGTGCAGTACTATACACTGCACGATGTACGGTGAGTTATTTTTTTACTAACAGTGTTGTGGGGAAGGGGCTTGGACAAATTTCCGTACCCCGAGAGAGTGAAGGGGAAAGAGAGAGGTTTTGATTGAGTGCCCACTGAGGTCCCATCAGATGTGGCTTAGAGGAATAAAGGATTCATTTGAAGGAAGGTGAGAAAGATTACATACAGTCCTCACATCTATCCAAATCCCTTCCAAATCCCTCTACATCACACTTATCAGGCCATGTGCAGTGTGGTATACTAACTCTCATTGGTCTTATCACAAGGCTACCACGTATCATATTTGTCTAGTGGAGGTGTAACTTATTCCCTGATACACTCAAGATCACGCATGCAAGTCTAGGTGGGTTACTGGGCTACACCCACTCTACGCACCTCTATCTGGAAATGCCACACTTAATCACAGATGTCCTTTAAACTAATGCCAGGATTGGTCATCCAGTCATTCCAGCTCTTCATTATAATGCTGTGAGAGCAAGAAATATAGGTGCTGGCCATGAAGGTGTGTCAGTTGTTTTTATTATTTGAGCATTGCCAGGACTGTTAGATAGTACACATATATTGGTAAACACTATCAAATCCCGTAGGCACAGCCTTAAGCACTTATTTTTCTGTCTTTAGGGCATTTCATCTGGGCCAGTGCCTCAACACATCAGACACATGATGACTCATTTTTGTGAAGCTAGCATATAGTGACAACAATCCCCCTAATATAAATAATGTACAAAATGTAGATAAATGTCTGACAATGAGTACATTGATATTATATAGTTTGTGAGGGAAACAACTCGTTAGATGTTTCAGTTCAACCCAACATCCG